ACCTGGCTTTATTAGGCATATAAGCAATCTACAAAACGCAATTTCATAACCTACTATCTGTAAATGCATTGCTGCCTACGCTTTACGTCATTAAAACGTCACACAGTTTCAAAGAGCAGAATTGGAGTGTATAAGAATCTGGCCAAACAAGCCAAAGCTTATAAAATGTGCGTTGTAAGAAATCTCTTTGTTAGCAAAGGAAAAAATCTATTCACCTGTGACTCGTAATCTTCATAGGATCGAAGTGGTAAGTAAATTCTCAATAAAATTTCAGACATCGATACGCAAGTAGGAAACATACTTCTTCTGTTTGCATAGCTTATATCAACCCGTATTCATCCATCATTGATATCCGAAGTTTTTGGGGCTCGCAAACGCGAGGAGCAGCTGTGGCTTTCCAGCGTTATCGGAACTGAGATCCTTTGTCCTGTTCGGGTATAGCCTTACCACATGCACCGAACATAACTAGACAAAAACAGATAAAGTATCTATCAACATTACGTCTACCTTGTCGTAGCCACCGTAGCACCAGAATCGTCTGTCAATCTCATAATGACTGTTTCGCTCTGGGCAATGCATGTACCTACTACAATGAGCCTCTATTCAAGAGGAAGGAAAACATAAGAGATACACCCAGTTTCGTGCAATTGCGCTATTTCTAAGAGATAAAGTCACGCATCAGTAATCCCATTACCCGTAGTTTATTGTTAGATTATGCTACTGCAATTGCAACAATGCCTGTCTCTAGTGGCAAGCACTACGGATCGCTAGCACAAACTTCTCCATCGTGTACCCTTTTTACATTTGATTTTAATATGTGTCTGTACAGACCGTTGCCGTAGCTCTTGAAGGGGCTTAAAGGCCTAAGCGACAAGCAAATCGACGCAAAAAAATCAGTGAATACTACCCAAGTAACATTGGTGAACGTATAGGGAAAGTATTCCACAGGGAATGAGCGACGATATCCGTCGCTGTTCCTTTTGTTGATCGCCGTCTCCTTTTCTAAAAGTCCTTCATGAAAACAGCATAAATTCTGACGAGATAGGCTTTTTATGGTGGCCAAAACGCGCAGAAGATCTTAATTGCACGCAAATGTGCCGTACAGACCTAGATCCTGCCGATGAAGTCTGTGAAGATGGAGATATCCGACGTTATCGTTGACAATCTATAGTGCTCGGTACGGTCGCTAGTCAAACGTTGCTTCGAAGAATTGCGGTTGATGTGGTATAGGCAGACTTTTTTAGGCCAACTGACGGACATCATGGCAATCTTAAAGAATGCCAAGGTGCGCGATCTTATTTTTAAATAAACTATTTGACATTCTCTCGAAAAACAAACGTAAAATGTATTCGCGACAATACAGGATGCGTTCTTCATGAGCGCAAAACATATCCTCGATTTTCATCTGTACCTGTCACGGCCTATACAGCCCAAACCAGAAGCGGCGTCATTGTCTAATAATACTCCTGTATTGGTATCGTACGAGAAACGCTATCGGAACATTAGTAAAGGGGTTCTTTGCCTCCGTAAAGGAAGGGACACCATCCGGACGTATAGTTTGAAGCTTACATTTGTAGTCCGCTGTCTTCACTTCCAACTGAACAACATTTAGTATTATGCCACTCTAAGTATGTATGTTAAATAGCCTATTTAGTAAGAATGCTGGCAGTAATATACCTCAAGCTGTAAGAGGAAGTAATGTTTCTCACCTGTGGTATACATCCTGAATATTATATCTTTTCGTTTTACTTCTATTTATCTACATAGGAGACCAATGCATAAACAGACAATCTGATAAATCGCAATTGTTACAATCTCTGTCGTTTTTTTTTTACTGCTTTTTACTTTAGACAAAAAGAGTTTTCCTTCGGATGTTAATATAGATGCACAACTCCTTTAGATCGTATTTGCAGCTAGTATGATTCATTGGACCGTACCGCAAAGGGCCCGGGAGCTATCGAACGAATTAGCGAGGTTAAACATGAGGGTGTTGGCGGTTGCCCTAGCAACGCACTCCATCGAAAACATCAACGAAGCTTAAACAAGCCAGCAGGGTAAACTAATTTGTGGGATGAGTGCAGACCACATCAGGCTGGCTCCACGCTGTCGCTCCGCCGAATGGCAAAAGAGTCTGATTTTCCCACTAGTGCATTTAACGTTCCCAGACACTGATTATGCCATAAACTTGAGGAACTCATCCAAAATCAGGTTCTGGACTTGGACGAAAATTCTATTTTTACGGCGAGCATTGGACAAATAAAGAGAAATGGCTCGACCAACAACGCATATTATAGAGGAATCCTCACAGAAGTATTTGCCTTTTATCGTAATGGAGGACCTTTTCGAGAAGCTGAAATTGCTCGACTATTTCAAGGACTTTCCTCGACTCTTTCGCAACGTTCAACCAATTAACAAGCATTATTTCGCTATGAAAGTTAATTCGGATGAACAGGTGTACACGTTTGTCTGCATATCTGCCTGGCTCGTGCGCAAGTGTGGCCTACCATTTGACCTGCCTAGACGTGACGACGATTTTCGTGCTGTGATCACGCATGTACTTTATGCCCTCGGCCAGCTTGGCATCGAAGAAGACTATAGTCAAGTGCGGCTTCAGCAAGGTTGGGGAGAACAGGTTATCAATGTTGTGGACGCCTTGGCTGATGTAGCTCTCGAGCAGGCGGGAATCGCGTGGAACCCTGAAGGTGACGATGAACTTGAGGAAGCCGAGCAGCCTGTCGTAGTTTACACGGACGATCTTTTCGATTTGGAAAACGAACAACCGCAAAACGATAACAGAGATCCCATACTGCAGATGCTCAAAAGTACCCCTACAACTCGCTATCCGTTAAAACAGCCGATCATATCAGATACAAACGTTGACGAATGGAGACTTGAAGTCGAACGTCTTCTACCCCAGCTAAAGATTGCGCTTCGTCCCGACCCGAAGGACTGGAGATCTCACCTCGGCCAGATCCACAAGTACAAAGACGAAATGGACGCTAGCCTCACAGCGACCAGGAGCCAGCTCGAAACGCTCTACAACAGTATTGGCCAAACCCTGGAAAAGATTGCCAAGCGGGAGAAATATATAAACTCTCAGGTCGAAGGGCTTTTAGAAGAATTAAAAAATGCACAGGAAGAACTTACAAAAATTAAGGAGCAATACAAGAACGTATCTGGAGGTGTCACGGAACGCTCTCATATTTTAGCATCAATATCGCAGGAGGTAGAGGATATTAAGCATGAGCTTGACGAGAGGGGTACCTCAATGACGGACGGTACCCCTCTAATTCATGTCAAGAAATCGCTGCAAAAATTAAAAACCGAAGTTGCGCAATTGGACGTGCGAATTGCAGTTGCTATCAACACCCTGCTCAAGGCAAAACTTCGAGAACGAGGACACTTTACGAATGCTGTTAACACAGCAGGCGTGGCACCTCCAGAAGACGATGAGTTTGGAATTTTAGGCGGAGCTAATTTGCAGTTTTAAACATATCACCCATGTGCTTGACAAAGCGAGGAAATTTTTAAATCAAAAATTGCTCTTTGATAACTTACATTTTTACAAAGGTATAGATAATAAAAAAAAAACAAACTCTTTATCCGGACACGGTTTGTACAAGCCCCAGCTACTTGCTGATCTATTGTAATAATAGGCATAATAACCATTCGGTGGCAACGACGCAGTATGCGTTGACTAAATCAGCAGAAGCAACCAAAATACATGAACCTTGGAGACCGGTCAGCTGAATGAGCAGAAAGCCGGAAACGCAGAAATAAGCACTGAGATGGAAGCAAGAAGCAGATCGCTCTCGAGGCAACCGTTAGTCCCGCTAGTGGTGTCAGGTCGTAGTCCAAGCGATCACCGGCACCGAACGAAGTCATCGAAGAGGGCTCGGTCGCTAAAGACCAGTGACTATAGAAAAAGGCTCGACTTTCTATTGACGCTAGTTCTTTGACGCAGAATAAGCGGCCATATACCGCACAGGGTTGCCAGAATTTGACCGTAAAGACTCCAGGGAGGTAAAGCGCCGAACACCTACGTCGACCATTGACATAAGTACAGAAACGCTGAGGACAGCGATGGCCAAGTGTTAAGCTTAAGAATGGAAACAATAAACAGCTGGCAAATCTAATGTTTTTATATTGAAATCAATGTTCAGATAATATGTTTTGTAATCTTCGGAGCGGATTTTTTTTGTCGAATACGACGAGAATTGTGGACTACTGGAGTCAGCTGTTGATATTTTTGTAAATTGGGACTGCGTCTTTGAATTATACTATATATTACTATAAGAAACAAAGTTGGTGGAATAAAACCGATCGGAGCAGAGTACATGAGGCATATCTTATAAGACCGAATGTGATACTCTATTTTTTGAAAGGAAAACACAACAAACAGTTATACCACGTTAAGTAATTACCGTTGCTATACATGTAAATATATGATAAAATAAAAACTGTCGCGTTTTCCAATCCTCTATAATCCTAGCATTTTAGTAGTTGAAGTATTATGGAAAAAAGACACATGAAAAATTGAGTGCCTAGATTGTTTTTAAAATTGTACCCTTGCTTTCAATAGATATATCTCACTGATATCCTCAAATAGTTGGTAGTAACTATGGTTTGAGAAATCTAGGTTTGTCTATACCTAGCATAAACGTGACTTCTTTTTGCTCATACTTTTATTAAAGTATTTATCTTTATTTATTTATTTATTTAAAGTATCATATTATTACATATTTCTTCCTTCCCCTAAAAAGGACTTTCTAGTTACTAATAGCATCAAAGGATAAAGTAACTTTCTGATATGGCTTTTTAGTTATGTGTTTAGATATCGGTAAATATGTTCGGGGCACGCGTTCGGAAATCTTTCACGGTCGATGCGTCTACAAAGGTCAGTCGCCCTTATTGATCCTGTATGCATATCTTTACTAATGCTTCGTCAGCCATTAAACTGTAAAGTAATCTCGTGTTGATTATCCTGTACTCCATTACAGATCAGTGACAAAGTAGCAATTGACTTCGAGCGCGTCCGTCTGGACGGTGGACCTCTACGAGTCTACAACCCATGGTACGATAAGGGCACGCTGACGGGAGATACTACTTGCCTACTGGAAGGCGCTAGCCTTGTGACCCCTGTTCCTGAAGAAGATGAAGGCTGCGAAAGTGAGGTGTCCCTCGAATCCACTATTACCAAAGATCTGCGAGATCGTGAGCCGACATCAACTAAAATCCAGAGTGTTACTGCGACAGCAACGTCAGGCAGAGAAAACTTCCATGTTCAAACGAACGGTCAAACTGTCACCATACGGCGGAGAGCTCCCAGCAACAAAGTAGACCGAGCGACTTCACCATCCGTTTCCGCACATCCGATGGCTGGCAGCACTGACCGTACGTTGACCTATTACACTCACGCTTGTTTGGTGGTGTATACTGTATATTTAATCATTGTTAAAAACTATTGAGGTTTAAATTTATTTCAAGGAAAGGCGGTCGCCTGCTTTCAGCTTTTCTCTTCCTTGAAGAAATGCAGACATAAATGCAAAGAATATTTGATTGAACAGAGAAATGCAAATATGGTTTTTACCGAAACATGCTTGTTATGCTTTTTTTTTATTTATAAGTATTAACAAAAACGGCATAATATGTCTGTATTCAGGAATGATTCAGACCGGTCCACAGTAACAGCCTACCGGGAACTAAAACTATGCGTAGAGGAAACGCGAAATGACTGTTACCAACACATCAGTCATATATATATATATACATACATACCAGGCAGATATAAGTCAAAAACCTTTTGCTTGGAACAGCACCAATTTGAAGATAATCGACATGTTAGCTGTCGTTCATTGAATGAGTGGAGCATTTTATCCATTTATGGCTCGTAGGAATAAGATATTTATTTGAGAATTTGTTAGGCCATAAGCTATGCGACACAGGCATGACTTGCCCCGGTAAAGAAAACTAGGTAAAATATGAGCCTGTATGCATTATGTACGTATAGAAAATCATAATCGATTCGTTCCGACGCTGCTGCAGCAGCAGCAAAGAAGTTGGCTAAGCAGTTCCTCATACGAAGGCTACAAACAAGCCAGCGACATTTCCAATAGTAACTTACCCTTTATTTCAATTGGCAGCTGTCATTGGCGTAATAAGAGTGTTATCGGATTTATCGCTAACATTCATTGCGACTAAAGAACGACATAGTCCCAACTGCGCACCATCGTTTTATGAGAGCTGAGTCACCATCCATCTCGGAACAGATCGTTCAGGTAACATCAACAATGACATTTGTTGTAGTTCCTGTTCCAGCCTCCAGCTCAAGGTCACCTTGATGCATTTCGTACAACCACATAATAAGAGCTCCGAGAGCCCTATCAATGAGGCTGCCCGCAGTGTTGATTTTACTAGTTTGTAGATAGCGGCTGAAGGATAGATAATTGGACACTACACTATCGTTTTATCGATTACAGGTCCGTCTGATCAATGACGGCCGACCACAATTTACAACCGTCCGTAGGAAAAGCAATCAGACTTTGAGGAACTCTTTGATGCATTTCACTGAGAACGACGTTGCATGAACAGGGCCAAGGGCATGTTGAGGGCCAAATGGATGCGACTGCGTATGGTCTTGGGCATAGACCGACGATGTAAGTCAGCACTCTGCTAAAGGATAGCTGTCTTGATGGCTGATTTGTTTAGGGTTCTGCCGACTATAGATAGAACCGGCAATAAATGACAATTCTGCGCAGATTCTGTTACCGTGTAATGGTCGCCTACTACGGGGAGTGCTTCAGCCAGCAGGACGCGTCTGGTCAATTGTGGTGCCTTATACAGGCATGCATATCTTTGCCAGTTTCTGACATTCAATTGCTTTCAACACAATACATATTACTTATTCTAAACCAATCATAAAATACCGCGCCTCGATCGCGTTAACCTGCCGATACGCTGGCATTGGCGATAGAACAACAACCGAATTACGATGAGAAATGCTCCATTGATCGGGCCATCCGTTGTTATTGTACCGGTAGCTTCTAAAGCTGACCGCAATCGAGGATTATCACAAAATGAAACCGGATCACGTGAGTCGATATATTAACATAATTAACCATATGCTACATGAGCTACACTCAGAGAAGGTCGGGGCTTTTGGCACGAGTTTTAGCCGCTAGCTGTCACTTTTATGTATTGTAGATAGCTTTTATTTTCAACCGCTCTTCGAGCTAGTTTAGTGCTTCATGAAGTGACGTAATTCGATTACGTGTACAACTGTACGGAACCGCAGGTTGATTCAGTTTTTTAACACTGACTATTTCCGTTTCGCTCATTCATTCACACAAATAGGAAAAAAGTGAATGATTTACCAAGATTTGTCGGAAGGATTTGCCAAACGATAACGTAGCCTTAGAAATTGTTACAAAATTGATCAAGTACCATTTTTAGGCCAACAATTCGGGGGGGGGGGGGGGGGTAATGCAAGTTTGTGCAAAAATTTTATTGTCATTGCAGGCCTTGAATCGACTCAGTTCGGGCTTACACTATATGAAGGTGCGTCATCGGTTTGTCAACATTAGCGTAAAAAGGTCGAATCTGCGTTTGTTTTGCAAACGCTGCTATAAGAGAACCGTTTACTGTCATAATAAATGTATAGGGTACGAACGAGTAAAACGCGACAACCTGAACGAACCTAACAGAGGAAGTATTATAGATATCTGTAAAGGAGTAAGTTTCTGTTTTCTGCCAGCCGGCACTAATCGTAGGCACAGAATATCCACTCGGCGAAGCTTCACAGCCTGCGCGTAAATGTAGATGAAGTATTCTTGCTTCGAGATCATTCAGCAACACTATAGGGCCATTGCCGCCTCACTTTGAGATGCCGCGCCTATCGCCGTTGATCGTCGCATTTATGTCGTCGCTATAGCAGAGGTAGTTATAGTAGTGAGTCAAGATTTTTCTCTTGTGAGTCATCATACCTACTATTGACCTGCTTAGCATACGCCGATTCAGCTACACGGCGGTTCGCGCGTATTTGTCCGCGCACTAAATAAAAAAATCTCACAAATTAGGAATCAAAAAGATATTGCGTATGCTACGTATATATTGCATAGATACGCGTCAAGGCAACCAGTGCAGGGGGTGCTCTCTTAAAGCACACATATAGGAATATACTCGCTCCACCCGTACGTTTTTAATCAACCATAGCACTTATATGGAGGATGGCCAGAGATCATAAACTGTGAAACGAACTTAAGTAAGGATGCTACCTCCCAACACGTGATGCGTAGAGAAATTTCGCGGTTCCACTATACCAGAGCAGATAGACACACGTTTCCACATATCAGTTGCGGACAAGCGCGCGTTACTGGCTCGGTTCAAATCTACAGTATATCACTACCGATGGCCTCTTCTGGCTATTGGTCACCACTAGCTGGCGTGACCCCAATGGAGGTATCCGGTAACATATAAACATGTTACCCAAGCAAACGGACCGATGTTTAAAATAAAAAATATCATTATCTGAAATAGGTGTACACAGATTCGCGCTGATCGCTGGGCAGCATCATAGAAATGTCGCAGATCATAAAGAATAGGAAGGAAGACAGAAATGAAAAGATATCCTTGAGGTTATCTGTGGAGAGCTTCGAACCGACCAATTCAAGGAAAACATTTTCTAGAAATTGGCCTTCTTTGTAGGGAACGGGAAATGTCGTAGCCATAAAACGAACAATTATATGACGCTAAGCTTTGAGAAATTAATTTTTCAGTTTGGGCCCTTGGCATGTCCCTGCTTTCTTGACCGATGGAATTGCTAGCATCGGTAATATACGCATATCGGTGATAAGCTTACCGGCGCCACCTATGTGCGGCCAAATTAGATTACCTTATATCTCTACTCCTATGAAATTAGTTGCGTTGTTGGTATTTGCTTAAACGATGAGGGTAGTACTATTCGTGTGTTGTCAATAAGTTCACCTGTTAGGCCTACGATGCGCTCGTCTGTGGGAAAAATAAGCCTCTGTCGTTGCCGTTTTAGGCTAGCCAAACGCTTTTGCAGTTTGTAAATCTTGTAAAAAGTTTGTAAATGAGCCTTTCGACAATCCATTAAATTTAACTAAAGCAGAGAGATGTTGTTTAGCAAATGCTATAATTACGGTGTGTGGGTAAATGCAATGACAAGCTCAGGAATATATCTATATAAATAATGTATGCAAATATATTTATCCTTCCGTCGTGTGTTTGTTCAAGTTCTTCTGACAGGACCGCACACATACATTTATTAAAAGGAGTGCGACATTTGGTGAATTTTTAATTTTATAAAAAAAAATGTAGTCATATTTGTGCATGTATGCTTGTTGCAGCGATATTCTGCGATGATCTATTTCATCATTCGAGGTCTACTTTTTGAATTCTGACCATTTCAAGTGGCGCGTGCCAGTCACTGCTCTTGTACATACTTCGCTGTGTACACAATTCAGTCCCGGCAATTTCTCCGTCTCTGTCCTACGTCCCCTCTCTCATTTCTCTGCGGATCGCATTGGCGAAGGCGTCAGATAGGCTAGTCGGACTCCGGTTTTTAGGTCTAGGGTCCTCGTTCTAGGTTCGGCGAGACGGCAACTACAAGTGTATATTACAAGGAAGACGGGAAAAAAGTGCATAAAAGCATTTGTCTGAAGCAGGCCATCCATCTGTTCGCAACCTTCACAGTTTCACCCACGGGGCGCGCGTCGTTCTTCAGAAGAGAACCTCCCTAGGTGTAATCCAGTTCGGCTGTCTGCGATAACTTACCTATACCTAGTTTAGCAATAGCAGATCCGTGACGAGTACCAGCTGCTCGGCGCAGTACGGATTTCTCTTTTTCTTGCTTCGCCTGTTTATATACGAATAGATCCGGAATAACCCTCCATCTCTCATCTGCGGGAACGAAACGCGGGCCGGGTGCACCCGCTCCCTTAAAAGCCAACTACTCATCGAGCGACTTCACCAACCGACATTTCACGGTTTCTGTAGGGCTATTGATTATCACTATTAAGTGGTTTCTGTTTGACGTCGCCATTGCCGTTGGCCGAGAGTCAATATATTGTCTACACGCGTTCCTCATAGGATTTCTCAGAAGCGATTCGCTTCTCCATTCGGTCAGGCAACAGGCCTGTATAATACCGGACGCGGCCAAGTAAACTATACTATTCTATGATTCAATACTACGCTGCATAAACTACTTGTCCTCGAATCGGTAAAACTAGACGTAAACATGCTCCGTTTCGAGCGGAAATCAAGCCACAAATGACGGTCTGCACATTACCAATAGAAGGAAGAAATGTCTTTGAAATACTATAGGCAAGCTTATCGGTGATCTTATCCTGATTCGTATCGGGGCCAAGTTACGC